GGCATCTACGCCGACGGCATCTACGCCGACTAGTATCTACGCCGACGGAAAAAATGCCGATGAGTATCTACGCCGATAGTAAATACGCTGATGGTATGTTTTTTTACAAAACGAATGTTTTTCTATGGGACTAATATGAAACTGAAAATTATGAAAAATTAATTATGTTATTAAATAATTAAAAATAAAATACCTAACTCGTGTTGCCTAGTTTTTTTTAATAATAAATATTTTTTGGCTCTGAAAAGAGCCTTTTTATGCCCTAAAAAGGACATTTTTTAATACGACGAGTGCCCCCTAAGCATGACCATTTAGCAAGATTAGAATTGAAAATGATGAGCAATTCCCTGCAAATAATCGGAGGTGTCGCGATTCTCATAGTCTTCAACGATTTCATTAATACGAAATGCTGTGTCTCGATAACACCGTCGTCCCTGTGCTGGTGGTAATCCAGCAATGTACTGGTTGATTTGGAATTCATTTAGGCTCTGCTGATTTTGCAGACCCTCAATGAATTTCCAAATAGATGGATGATTTGCTCCTAAAAGAGAGCTGAATCCTCGATGTCAGCCTTCAACTGCGTTGTTAGTTTTGGGTAGGTCATTCAACGATGCCTCGTAACAATTCCAGAGGCTCAGCTTAAATTTAGGAAGCATTCTGGCAAGGCCGGTTCGTCGGGGCTTTCCAATCCACGTGGACTCAAAATAATCTACCAAATCTGTCATTAGGTCTTCGTTATCCGTATAAAATTTTGTCCGGAGGAGTCTTTCAAAACAATCAACTACGTCAGGCTCTGGAACAAATGCAAGAGCGGCCAACTTTCGCACGTTCAATGCAAAATCCAGATCATCCTTATCCTCGTATTTGGATCGAATGTCAGCGATTGTCTGAATTTTTCTCCAAATGCGTTGACTGAAGTGAAAAAAACAACCTCTGTTCCTGATATCTGGAAAATTATGGGAAAAAGCATTTATCTGGGCATTTTCAAAATCGGTCATAACACTGACTGGAGACAGCCCTGGTTTAAGCAGCTTCAGTTTATACAATACACTCGAATACGTATCTTGCCATTTATCCGGCAACAGTGAGTAAACCGTTTTCAGAACGTTATTATACTTAATCGCGTGTATTGTAAAAACTTGCTTAAACAATGGCGGTGACGTTTTAAATGTACCATCAGCGTACCAATGGTCACATGTCGCCATCAAATCCAAATTCTTTTGCGTGCTAAAGATAATAATTATATTATCTGAAGCACAGCTGTCGAATTGGAGAAATTTATCTCCAGCCACCGTATAAGTGTATTTCTCGGGAATCAGTAAATCACGCATGTTAGTAGGTTTTTGCTCATCATTTTCAATTCTAATCTTGCTAAATGGTCATGCTTAGGGGGCACTCGTCGTATTAAAAAATGTCCTTTTTAGGGCATAAAAAGGCTCTTTTCAGAGCCAAAAAATATTTATTATTAAAAAAAACTAGGCAACACGAGTTAGGTATTTTATTTTTAATTATTTAATAACATAATTAATTTTTCATAATTTTCAGTTTCATATTAGTCCCATAGAAAAACATTCGTTTTGTAAAAAAACATACCATCAGCGTATTTACTATCGGCGTAGATACTCATCGGCATTTTTTCCGTCGGCGTAGATACTAGTCGGCGTAGATGCCGTCGGCGTAGATGCCGTCGGCGTAGATACTGTCGGCGTCGATACCGTCGGCGTAGATACCATCGGCGTTGATACCGTCGGCGTAAAGACATGATACCGGCACGGCACATGGTCCACCCCACCGAGATTCTCGTTATCTGACTGGCGGCTCGTCTAGACATTTTTGCGGTCGCGATTTGCTGCCCGGAGCGAGTGGGCCAGACCCAGACGTCAGAGATCGTATCCCGCTCAGACTTAGCATCAGGGTCGTCCAGGCCAGGGATGGCTACACGGAGGCCTTCTAGGACCTCGTCTGCGGAGGACACAGCGTCCAGATCCAGAATCTCTACCTCGACCTGGACGACCTTTGCTACCTTGGTGGATTTCGCCAACTAGGCCAACTCCATAAGCAACAGCCGTCCCGCGTTTCACGCATAGTCACGTTCCCGCCGATGTCTTTCATTCAAAGACCTCAAGAGAGTACGGTGCGAACGGTGTCAGAAAATGACCTCCCTTCGCCTGGCCTGATTATGATAGCTGGGGGCTTCTTAGTGTAACCTCTTGACTTAGAGGCAGCGCTGGTGGTAGGCTTACGTGACTCCGTCGTGGTGGTTTTACGCCACCTGAGAGGTTTCCTGGCAACCTTCGACCAATTCTCAGCATCAGTGTCTATGGCGGATTCCATCTTGGTATCTGGAACTTAACTGACGTGCTGGGTTCCACAACCTCCCCCGTTTTCCGTGCACTCCTCCACCGAGAAGCTGCCTTCTTCTCGGTGGTGGCGTCACTGTCCCACCAACATGGTATTAATGTCGTATCAGTACTCGCGTCGGCCATGATTGGCTTCACGAAGGGCTGGCACAACCCGTTATTTACAGATACGTTGGTAAGAGGTGGCCGTGGGGGTTAACAGTTTCCCCTTCTAGCTGATAAGGACGTTCATGATTTTCTGCCAAATGACCCTGCCAAATCCGATGACATTTAGTGGTTTGGGACCTTGGGGCGACCCTTAATCTCTTTCCGAGTTTCGGCGTGATCGGACCAGAGGTTTCAAAATTCCGTTGGAGAGGTTTTTGGCCCCTAGACTATGAGAGGGACTTGTAGGCGCAATAAAACAGAAACCCTTAGTGAAAGAACGGAGTCCCTACACTAGAGGTCCTTGAGATATTCCAAGCTGAAAAAAACAAGATTGGGGGGTTGACTTTCAGTATGTGGTAACTGTGAACTAATTGCTTGTCCCCCGTGCACTTTTGGTGTTATGACTCACGCGCAGCCACGTGACCGTCTCTGTGAACTTTGTTCGGGCGCGTGTATAATGATAAGAAGTGTAACCTAAAATAGTTACAACTCAAAAGATTCGGCGGCCATGTTAGGTTTATGGATACCGAATAACCGTCCCCGTGGGAGGAGTTTTTATCAGGTCGACTCACAAACGACACCGATCCCTACCCGAACTTGATAACAACGCGACGACCGGTTAGTGTAGTCACCCGGTGGGCACAACAACAACAACAAACCCACTGACCTACATTCGAACGTAAATAGACACCGTCGTATCAATAGCGCTCGTCTCACATTAACCACCACACCGAAAACACAGCCGGACAGCATGCCGGAAAAATTAATAGACGAGTTGACCGTTCGGGAATTGCGGTACGAATGTACGCAGCGCGGGATTAAACAGTTAGGATCGGGACCGCCTAGAGCAATGCTTCGTGACCATGAACATTCAGGCCGACACCGTCTGGTTCCCTTCAGCGGACACCGATGAGGGAACCGGGGACGGCTTGGATGAGGAAAGTCAAACGGCGCACCCACCGAGCCGTTAGCGGTGGAAACCCCCTCAGCCCAAAATCCTCAAAACACACACCACATGCAAACACCCCCTGCAGACCTCGACACGTTGGACAACATTCAAACCACGTGCGGCATACTACAGGGGGCCATGCTAACGTAAAAAAATCAGTCGAACCAACCGAGTATGGAGTCGCGGCTATCCATGCTCGAAGACTGCATGGCACGCATATGCGACGGCCAACGCCGCATAGCGGAGTCCATGAGACGACTCGAGCTTAGACGCCCGACGCCGGACTGTCACACAAATTGTTCCTTACCTACACACCAGCAATATGATACGTCATCAGGACCACAAACCGATAACACACGTAGGACCAAAAACACATTTACGCCGAACACCACGGAACACGGTGATAGCTTTTCCGCGGCATGCGAACAACTGGCCGCGCGCAATACACACACCAGCCGATCGGTACATTTTGCACATACGTCGACCCCTCACCACTCTCCTACACGATGGAACAATCGATTTTGGTACCGTGTGAGGATTTACGCACAGCGAGATTCTCGCTGCCGGAGTTTTACAGGACAACAACCGAAGACCCGGCACGGTTTATTCACCATTCCGAATAGATTTTATACCAAGCGCGTATAGATAGGTCAGGTTGGACACGCACAGTCGAAACGTAGCTTAAGAATGCAGCCAGCACTTGGTGGAACACCATCAAAATACTGGACCTCTCCAGGGACGAATTCTGCAACGAATTTTTACAAAAATTCGATAACCCTGACATACAATCCCGACTGCGCGCCGATATAGTGTCTGTCCGACAAATCACCGGACAGTCCCTCACGGAATTCGTGTTGGCCAAAAACCAGCTAGTACACCGCATTGCCACCGGGCTAACTGAAGCACAGCTAGTCAGTACAATCGCCGGACTCACGCGCGACAAATTTCGCATGCATATCCACCTGTAATGGCCCGCGACTTTCGCCGACCTCCGACGGATCGCCGGGGTCCTTAACTTCTCCGCTGGCGAACTCACCCAACACGTCAAAGTAACTATACACCCAAAATCGAGTGTTAAAAAGAAAGCCGACCAGTGGCGTAGCTCGCACCCACCGTACACACCACGCGCTTACACCGGCACGACGGACAAACCGCAACCGCGTAACCCGTGTAGGTATTGCTGGGGGCCGCACTGGAACAGTGACTGTCCCGATCGTACACCGGCTTCGGGAAACGGAAACTGAGTCGGGGGATATCTGTCCGACCGTCTCAACCACTCGCACACACACCAACTCACCACCACCGTCAATGTTCGGCGACCACAACGGGGATATAAATTTCAAACGCGCATCAAAAAATCCCATCTCAATCATCATATATATCCCCCGTCAATAAAAAAAAATTTCATCGAGTAGTAGGTCATCATCACCACACACCACGACCCCTACTTCGAAATTTCTGCCCACACCTGAGGAACATGCTCATTGTACAGCGGCAATCGAGACAGACGCCCTGGTAATGGTGGTGCAAACCGCTACCCGGAACCCCGCTCTCGCGGTTAAGAACCAGTCGCCCCGCTATACGGAGCACTCCACGTCGTATAACGCTACGCAAATATGTCCCGACAAAATTCCGACCCCCGCGGTCGAACTTGAATTTAGGTCAGGCTTTGTAACAGCCCTACTCGACTCACAGGTACAAAAATCATATGTAAGCCCGGACATTGCCCACAAATTTGGTACACCCCCCCATTCACTCAAGTCCGAATGGCGGACGGACACACCACCACAACAAGTGGTACCTCCTCATTCGAAGCCAGAATAGGGAATGATGTGGTGACTGATGCTAGCGAGATAGGGGCGGGAGCCGTACTTTTCCAACAGGGTGACAGGCCGGAGGAAAGACAGATAATCGCCTACGCAAGTAAAAAGTTTAGTGATACGCAGACGAGGTACGCCGCTGTCGAGTGCGAGTGCCTTGCCATAATCTGGGCGACGGACAAATTCCGACCATATCTGGAGACCCGCCGCTTTGAACTATTTACCGACAACTCGGCACTCACATGGCTCCATCGCGCCAAAAACACAAATACTAAGTTGACCAGGTGGTCATTACAACTGGCCAACCCAGACTTCCAAACCACCCACATACCCAGCGTTCAGAACGAAGCGCAGGACATGCTATCACGCCAACCGGCCCCTGGACCACCGGTAAACGAGGAACACAGGACCGACTAGTAGGCGTACCCATCTCACCACGTACCCCGCCGAGTCAACCACCGGATAATTTGTTCGCCACCACCAACACGGGCGACAAAACCAACGGCCCACACATAACACACACAATGCTCACGACATGGCAGACCGATGACCGAGACATCATAAATAACGGGTTACCGGACGGCCCGGCGCGCAATACCGAAAACACAGCGGAAAAAAATAATGAGTATATTTTCACCGACTGCCAAATGCGAATAAAATTGAGCGATAGCACACCCGTAGTTATTCCCAAACACAAAGTGCAGAACGTGATATGGACATACCACGATCAAGATCTCGCAAATCACCCGGGCTGGAAAGAGACCTACAGTGTAGCAAGACAGCGGTTTATCTGGAAAGGGCTGAAAAACGACATTCGACTTTACGTCAAGTCGTGCCACATATGCACGTGCACCAAACCACTTAACGCGCACGATGACGATCCAAAAACCGCCAGAATACCCCTCCAGCCCTGGGAGGTAATCAGCATAGACCTCATGGGCCCCTACCCACCCACCAGCAGGGGCAAACCAAATATTTACTGGTCGTTACGGATTTGTTTAGTAGATGGACCGAGGCGTACCCCCTCGGCACAGCCACTACAAAAACAATCACCG